ACACACACACACACACACACACACACACACACACACACACACACACAGTTAAAGTCCAAATTAGATTTGTGTTTAGCAACCAACCTCCTGTAATTTGTCCATAAATTGAGCAATAAATACAAAAAGTAATTATCTCTCAGTCCCTTTCTGATGCCGACACACACATGCACACACACACTCCACAACAAAACTTGTTGTCAATAACTGCCTTGCTGGTTTGAAGCTGTGCCACCTGCTGACAGCTGCTTGGAAACAGAAGATTTTCTTTTTGGCAATAAACCTGAAACACGCCCATCTTATGATACGAAGACAGTAATAATTCATCGTGCAATAATCCTATGTGCCGAATTCCAACTATTCTGAAGCAACATTTAAATTGTCAGCCTGTAAATACACATGTATTAAATTAAACCTTCCCTCTTTTCCATTAGAGTAAAAATGCTGATTTCAGGCTCTGTGGGAGCTTAATTTGTTATTTGCATGCATATTCATGATGTGACGTGAAGCACCCGTACCACTCAGTAACGAAAAAAAACTAAAACGTATTATCAAACCTGACAAAATCTAACTGCCCACTTGAGAAAATGAATTAAATGACATGTGTGATTGAGAGGTGTGCTGCTGTGCGAAAGGAAAAGGCTGCAAAACTGACAACACGACAAATTTGCTCGAATAAGGCCATTAATGTTTGATATGGAAGCATGAAAATATGGGGCTGCAAACAAAAATGAAGCCCAGACAAGAAAAATGCTCCATATAGACGGAAATGTGCCCCTTGCTTCCCTGCATGATCTACACTCGAGTCTTTTTTCTGTTAAAACAGCGGAAGAGGGGTTAAAGCAAAGCAATCCTCTTTAAGATAAATGCACATTTCAGGAAGCTCCTGTTGAAAGCTTCCTCCAGAGAATGTAGAAAAATGAGGACAGACATTGTTCTGTGTCTTTCTACAAGCTGCGCAAAGATGAACAATCCCCACTGGACCGCAGTGGGTTATCATGTGGGACATCCTCCATAGAAACGGGCGTTACCACGGCAACACTACTTAGGAACTAACAACATGGCATGTTGTCACACACACACTAAAGAAAAACACAGTCTGCGGGCTGGTTACACAGCCTATGGACATACACAAGATGTTGGTGTCCTGCTGTAGGATGTACAAGATGTGAACGTCACAGTGGATTTACTGCGTGCACCTGATTCCTCTGCAGCTGCTGTATTTCAGCAGAATGCCTTAAAGTGATCCATTATTAATGAGTCGGTCAGCAGCTGATTTATTCCACACACTAATAAAAATTCCTCTATTCTGCAGAGCGGTTTCAAGGTTAAAGCAGTCAGCAGGTTCTATCCGTCTCTGTCTCTCTCTCATGGAAGATGGGAGTGAGAGAGCTCTCGGAGAGGGGTCGGCCTACCTGCCCCTTCACGCTGGGAAACAATCCGTATTTTCAGCTGGCTGTCCTGTCCACAGGAGGCCAGTCGAAACTCCACACAGCAGCCATCTGCAGAACAACAAACAAAGAAATACAAAAAACTGCCACATCCCCTCTTTCTGAATGTTCACGCTTGACTGACTTTAATAACAAAAGAAGACAAATATCATCCGACGGACGGTTCGTGAAGTGTTACAGCACGCAGCAAGCATCTTTTACACTATATGTGGCATACATGTAGTGTTTTGGATTTAAGGGAGATTTCCATAACAAAAATGTGCTTTTTATTCACCAAAAGTGGCAAATGTACATGTCATTCTTCATTCAGGGATAAAATGCAACAGCTTACTTTTTTTCTGATAGGCTACAAACTAAATGATTAGTTCACCTAAAATCACAAATGTTGTGAGTAACAGTTGAATAATTAGGACCACTCTCTACTGAAGTAATCGTGCAGATGAAAACTGTCCACAGTGAGGTCTGTGAGTAACCAAAATAGTGTTCTGTTCATATAATCTATAAATCTACACACTATTTGTATGAATAGTCAGTTTTCTTCAAATTGCTTGTTTTGTCTCATCAAAAGTCCAAAACCCAAAGATATTCTGTTTACACTGGTTAACAGCGGGAAAAAGCATCAATGAACATGAAACACATGTTTGGCCTTTTGCTTGATAAATTACTTCAATAATAAACCTTTTAAAGCACCTCCCTGCATGTCTAGACACCACTATTAATAAGTGAACATAAATATGTTCCTTGTTGATTTGGGTGAACTGACCCTTTAAAACACTAAGAACTCACCAACTTTAAACTGCGGCGCAAAGCTGCAGCAGGTGACTCCCAGGTCATGGGCGTCCTTCTCAGCATGCAGGAGGTTGATGTCCGTATCCCACAGTTTGAGGTCTCCGCGGGTGCAGCCCGTCACAAACATCTGGCCACAGGGAGAGAAGCAGCAGGCCACAACACTGGCCTCGCTCACGGCACTGCACCTGTATTAGGCCATGTTAGATTGTTAGACATTAAAAAGCTGTAATCCTTTAAGATAAAGACAGTTTTATTAACATATTTCATTTCAATCGGTTAATCTTGACAATAAGTTGTCCAGCTGGTTGAGTTCTTTATGCGTCTCTTTTGTTAAACCTGCCTGAATGTAGCAGCGAGTGAAGTAACTCAGGTCTTTCTTTACAATATTAGTTCAGTTAATTACAAACTAAGCCTGATGTAGGACTAACTAACCAAACCAGGTTTGAGGAAGTCAAATGGAGTTACAGATGTTTTACGGCCAAGAAAACCTTGTTTTTTTCATCCAGCTTCGCATTGTGAAGCATACAGTCTATGTTGTGGTCAATAGCGTTCCAAATGAAAACAATATGTTCTGCCAAATATGTTTTCATCATTTATTTTTGTGTTTCATCTGCGCTTCTCTCACTGGTTTGAAGTGGGCGTGGCTCTGATGAAATAATCACCTGAAACATATTTCAGTGCACCAGTCAGAATATTTCAATGGAAGAATCAGGATGGTATGCAAAGACTATATGATGACAAAGGCAGTAAGATGAAACCAAGTTAGCCTAGTTGTGTCAAATTCCCAACTTCAAGAAACAACCTTTAATCTCAGGTTGTGAGATCGTTTAAAACAAGCTATTTGAAGACTCTGGGGCTCTGAGAAATTATAAGCGGCACTATTTCACCTGTTTCTGTCACTTTGTGCACTAAAAGACGAATCTAAGGCTGGAAACTGGCCCTTGATTGCTCTAAAATGGACTACGGTCGGTTTGATTTGCAGCTTTAACTGTTGGATTGACACCGGGGGTCACACTGTACCTGCGTAACGTCTTGCAGGGGAAGTCCCAGAGGGCTACGGTGCCATCGCAGGCCCCTGCCACTAGCAGGGAGGAGTCCGGCGCTATTGCGCACGCTCGGAGCGGACTACGGGCCGGGTGCAGCAGCACCGCGGCCACCACACCCGTGTTCGCGGCCCACACGATGGTGGATCCGTCCGTTGAGCAGCTGAGCAGGTAGCGGCCGCATGAGCTGAAGCAGCAGCAGTGAACCCCGTAACCGTGGCCCGACAGAGGGGAGAACGGAAGCTCCGAGAAGTCGGACGTTTTGTAAACACGGAGGGTTTTATCGCCGGAACAGGTGGCGAGGAGAGACGGAGAGAAAGCGCAGCAGCTGACCTCGTCTGCGTGGTGCCGAAGAGCGCAAAGTATTGACACCATCTTGGGGACAGATGTGTGGATCTGCAGAGGGAGACGTTCACTCACAAGGTGGCGCAAAATGCCCAATGATCTGCCTGTGAATGGAGAGGAGAGTTGTTGGTGACAGCAGTCTGTCCGTCGAACTTCTTTTGTTAAAATGCATCAAAGATACAAACCTCAGCACAAACTGTTGCTCACGTGTCGACGGCTTCTCTCATTAAATACTTCCTCTTCCAGCTGTACAGTCAGTTTACCTCGCACAGCTGTTATCAGTCATGTGACGCTTACTGAGTTGCACAATGTTCGTAGTCCATTTCCCCCCCCCTGTAATTACAATAAAATATAAAAAGAAAAACTACCATTTTAAGGCCGACATTAAAAAAACACTTAACTCAAGCATTGTCACTAAATTCAATAACACTCATAATCCAAAATGCATCTTTTCGGTGTCATATTTATATTATTGGATTAGAATTATTGACGAATTCTGCAGCATTTGATATTGTAGCTGGTCGAGCTGGAGCTACTTTGTTCTACTTTATTGTGCTGGGTAGTTTTATCTATAACATTGCTGCATATTTTATGTGTTGTGTTTTGCGTGAAAGTACCGAGGTACTACAGCATACCTGTGAAATAAATGAAGTGGAGTTCAGTATATTCTCCCCTGGAGTGTAACGCATCAAAATATGGAAATAATAAAGTACACGTACGCCAACGTTTTACATAAGTGCATTTCTGAGAAAATGTACTTTGTGACATTCCACTATTGACAAATATAACAATGCATTAACTCCATTTCACACCATTTCAACCAAATACAAATGTTTCAAATTAAATATATGATTCAAAAAAAATGGCAAGATTATCAAAATTAGACTTACTCTGAATCAATAGGGAAGACAGTGAGGGCCCAAAAGTGTTATTTTGAAAAACAGGTTTATTTCATCTGTGCCACACACTCACTATTCAAAAATAATATTCCCACAAAAGTCGCTACTCATTTCACAATATTCATAACAAAATACAGTTACTTCAAGTCTTCTGACTTCAGCTGTCTGGAGATGCCTCCGCTGGACCGTGACTCTGTCTGACTCACAGCTGGATTAAAGCCCACTGCAGGTTCTACGACTGTCCGCGGGATTTCTGACAAGACTGGCTTGAAGGAAACGCTTGGAGATGAAACACACTATATGCACCACATCAATTGTTTTCAGAGGAGAAGCTCTAAAGAATATTAGCTTTTGTGTAAGGGTTTCCTACAGTATATTGTGCAGAACACACAAACAGTACACGCACAGAAAATAGAAAAAAAGCACACTCCTCCACACACTGTTTAGAGGTCAGAGGTCAGGCACTACAATACTGAGGAGACCAGTGTTTGAGCGGATATTCAGCACAGGCAGAGCACAGTATAAGACATATGAAGTGCTGCAATCATCCTTATGCATTAACAATATTTGAACAAGACTGTACTGTATGTACACTCTATACACGTTAGAAATACGACTTGAAAGAGTGATAGTAATACCTCCTGGTATTTTACACAATTAACAGTAGTACTGCTCTGGCACCATATAGTCAAAGAGCTGTAAACAATTATTTTGTTTTTTGATTGGCTAGTTTATTAATAGTTCATAAAACAATCTTTTGATTTTTTTTTTTTTTAAAGCTGTTTGCCATGTCCTGCTTTTTTTGTTTTTAGAAAAGACTGACTGTAACATAAATACTTGAGAAAATAAATACACACATTCACACTAAACTAAAGTACTGATGATAAAGAAAAAGGAAGCAAAAGGCATATTTACTGTGGAAATCCCCAAAGTAGAAAGGCCCAAATACAATATTGAGCCCAAGAGTCAGTGCATTCTGAGAAAGAAAACAGTATTGCACTTTAAAGATATTAATCCATGAAGTGTGTTTTCTCAGCAGGAGAATTCGTTTCCCCATCACATTGCACGTCAGTGGTATTATAACTTATTTATTGATTTAGTGTCACAGGTGATGAGAAGGTCTCCAACACCAAAGATGAAGTATGCTATGTAGAGAGTAGCATTGAAAGTCCACACGGCAAACGGCTACTCCAGCAGTTCGGTCCATCGTTTGTCAAAAAATGTCCTCATGCTGTGGCCGGCTCGTCCTATTTCGGAATCATCTTCGTTAAATTTTTCACAGTTGTCAAAAACCAGGTTCACGTCAACGATGAAAGTTTCCAAATTCAAGTACCTGTAATCGTTAGAAAAGGTTGTTTTTTTAATTTTTATGTATATGCAGCAACAAATGAAAAATGATAGAGTATATGCACATGGAAAACACACATATGTCTACTTAAAAACAAACATTGTGACAGTAACACACATACTGGTTGTTGGTGAGCTTTTCTCTGATGGTGGAGAAGTCCATGGGCTTTCTGATGACCTTCCTGTATCCAGGGACGGCTTTCTGGTTGACGGGCGTGAGGAAGGGCCAAGCGTCCTGTTGGGCCTCCAGCTCATCCAGCAGCACTCTGGAGAGAACAAGTGAAAATAAACATTTTAAAAAGGATGTTTTGATTGTCAAACGTTCATGACTTCCAGAGGAGAATGAGAAGAGGTAAAGTAAATGTCGCTATGCATGCAGTGAGTACAGGATCATGCGTACCGGCACATCGTCAGTCCATTTGTGTTGCTCTCTTTGGTCGTTTTGGCTTTTTTCACACAGGAGACGGGGCTGCCGTGCCTGGCCTGGGAGCAAGGGGGGCTGTCGTCTCCTTTCCTCTTTTTGAACTCCTTGGTACCTTTCTTTGGCACGCTGTTGCTGCTGGCAGCCTCGTCTTTGATGAGCTCTCCTACCACAGATGGCCTACTGTTTCGTTTTACCTCGCTGCCTTTCTTCCCTCCTCCAGCTGTTCGGCTCTGCTGCTTCCTACTCCAGGGGGATTGACCACTCCCCTGAATGACAAAACACACAGGAGACCGGTGAAGAGACAAAGAAAACATATAATCAAATCAATTCACTGGATGTGTATATGCGATACATCTACGTTGTCATTTAATAATTTGATCTACTGTGACAGTGGAATAAACAATTAGGGCATGCTGGTGTACCTTTGCTACACAAGTGGGACAAAACCAGTCGCCGTCAGGTACTGTAGTGATCTTGGGTTTCTGGCAGTAAGTGTGGCAGCCTTTGTCACATCCATCACAGAGTAAGAGCAGTTCTTCATTATCCCCCTTTTGACAGAGCTGGCAGTGCTGGAAACAACAAAGTGTAGCCGTGAATACAACCTGAGATACATCACAATGAAAACTGTAGTTTTTAATGCATGTCATTGCAGCCAGGCACATTGGACGATGTTGATTTGTTACCGATTGTAACCCGATGCGGTTGCTGCCTCGTAATGATGTATTGTAAATTGATGCTGCTATTTCTTTTCTTTTCACCTTTTTCCTAACAACAACGCTGCTGTGCAGATTTATTGTGTTATCTTTCAAGAGGTTTATGTACTTAAAAAAAAAAAAAAAAAAATCAATAAACCAATAATTTATACAATCTGTGATTATGGGAGCAAGTGTGTCACTAACCACTTTCATGATGGATCGTTCCCAGGCAATGGATTTCTGCAGCTGCTGAATGCAGAGTGACAGCTGAGCTGAGCTGCGGACTTCACTGAGGGCTTTACGCCACAGCCTCATCCCCGGTGCCGCCTCCTCCTCGCTGTTTTGAGATCACAGAGATCACATTATCAAACTGAATGATAAAAGCCATTAACCCTGGTTTCACAAGCAGTGTATTGAATCTGTGTGGGATGAACCTTCCCTTTACCATCACCACTAGAGGATGGTGTGGTGCAGGTACATTATCCAGTCTGATCTGAAAGATTGTACTTCTTTTCTCTCTCTCTCTCTCTCTCTCTCTCTCTCTCTCTCTCTCTCTCTCTC